CTTTCATCGAATTGTTTTATCCAATTTACATACAAATAGCACATTTTCTTGCAAATAAACAAAAAATTATGAGCGATGTTAGTCCATTTGGGGACCAATAATGTGCTAACTGCGTCCCGAGACCATATTACCGACACTAAAACATAGGTGACATTTTGAAGGCGCGAATTATTGCAAAAAGCGCGCTGGTTGAACTTGTAATGGCGTTTAATTAAAAGGACAACGCCTGAGAAGGCTGCGGAGGACAGCGTCATCGAGCGGCATTAATAAAATTGCAATGAATGTCAATGCAATTACAGATACAATAAATTGCCGCATCGCAGCGCCGCCGACGGACTAGACCATGGTGGCGCTAGTGGACTTATTATTACTAAGAATTCGTTCTACAGGACCACAGCACTAACTTCAGTATGGTTTAGGAAACATAAGATTCAAACTCAGTCTCCTATTGGAAACATTTTTAAAACTTTTAATTAAGTTTAACGCTGTGTTTAGAGATGGATCACAAATATAACAATAGTCATATTGGACCTTAAAGTTGTGTTATCCTTCTTGATTATACGGTATGGACATGTGGCGCTATGCAGTACAAACGGCCGACAGTGATGGCGAACCCTGCCGGCGAACGACATCCGGCGAGTTTGCTTTGTGCGCGCCGCTCGCCGCCGACGTATCGAGTGTCTTAAATTAATTTTCAATATTATTTTTTCATAAAGGACCTCACCGGTCAGTGACTTGCACAGGTGCATTATTTACGAGGTCAATTCGCTACATTATCATTATGAAATTTGTACTGTATATACTCCATCGATTTCTAACCTGAGATTGTCGGTTTCTTAACTAAGAAAATACAATTATAAAGTAGTTACATCAGAAGATATTCTACATTTCCTTATCAAATAATGCAACAAGATTATGTCACAAATATAAATCTGACTAAATTATGTCTTACTTTTGACAATTTAATATTGAATTACAAAGATTGTACAGTAATTGAAGGGCAAAAATCAGAGCGCCATTAGCGACGTGTTCACCACCATAACGGTGGGGTTATTATTTCTACATTATTTTCAATTTATACCTTAAAAGGCAACCAGCCGGGCGGTGCGCCTGCGCTGCGCTGCCAAGCTGTGTAAGTGATATTTAATAGCTGCATTTATTACCAAGAAATCAGGTCTAACATACTGATATAAATGAAAATACGCTTTTCAGTTATATATCCTTACTCTTGAAAAAATATCACATTTTGTCGCCTTCCAACAATAACAATCCTATGTTTCGCAGCCTCTATCTTTAACCAATGAGCTATTGGCGCTTATACTGGACAAGTCAACGTTATTGGAGAATGGTAATATTAAGGGTTTGTCCCACCACTGTCTGATAGAGGCTCAGATAGCTTAAAAATGACGTCACTGTCAAACAAGGGAACAAAATCCGATATTTCCATTACATATTTTACATGTTGGACTGTAATCAGACAATTTACAATTTGGTGACACAAGCCCTTAGTAATCTATTTTAAATAATTACATTAAAATAGAATCTATTAGTCAGATATAGAGAATACAGAACAAAGGCGTGCAGGAGACCTCGCGCCACGTCTTTTATAACGAGGAATGGAGAGACTGAGGCACTTAGGAAGAAGTAATATCCTCTTCACGTGCGTCCTTTCCTCCATCGTTGGTCACTTCGCTATTTCTAAAAATCCATTGGCCTCTAGCTCCTTTACTACCTTATAATATAAATATATATTTAATGCATACGAATATGAACGGGGTCTATATATTTTTATATTTCCTCGAAGGCAGTCAGTCAGTGAGACAATGTAATGGCGAGAGCGATCCGTAACTGTTTAAATATTTCATGCGCTCGCGCAGGTTTCGAGGAACAATAATAATAATCGTCGTAAGTACACTGAATGGGAAATAAATTACAACAGCGATAGTGATGTTCATACAAAGAACAAATGTGTATCGATATTGCGCATAAAAAATATAGTTCTTAGTTTTCCTCTCCGTAGACTTGTTTTTCTTGAAATTACGAAGTCGTCCAGTGTTTGAATCGGGAGCCAAAAGTCGATCCGAGCGATCTTGTACGTAGTGCGAACTTGTGCATACAGAATTCCGAACAAGTTTACCTATATTTTCAGTTCAGAACCAGGAAGTACATATTAATGTGTTCTATACGGAATACGTCGATAGTTAGACATCGATAATTTCGGAGTCTTAAGCACATCCTTAATGCCGCCCGGGGCGTTGTGCGTTTCATACGCGGCGCAGGCACACACGGCCGCCGCCCGCTTATTAACTGCTTCGGCCCGCCCTAATGCGGCCCATTACAACCAATATGCCCTCCACTAACAGCTAGCCCCGCACTCGCACAGTTATTAAATTGACATTAACATTTTACACGCACAGCGATATTGCCACCGCAGCATCAGCAGACAATGCCAAAATAGCAAAGTTCCTAGAATCTAAAACATGCTGCCAAAAAAAAAAACAACTGCCTTTACCTATAACAAAGATTAATCCGACTTTCGTATATGATAATCATTTTCTTCTATTATGCGGTTTTAGCTTATTTTTATTGAAGAATTAGATAATCTAGTTAAGTTATCTGATGGTTTTCGGTTACCACCGGGGCCTACAGCTAGCCCATCTCTTGATCCTCTACTGTTATCTATTACCTGCATTAAAATGCACGACATTCAAGGTTATGTTAAAGTGTTCTCTCTGCATATGTATTATTCTAGGTTCTGGCATTACGTCACCGATGTCTGACGCAAGTGCATCTAGTGCCATCTATTGGTGGAGGCCGACAGAATTCTATCCTGTGAGTCCGTAACAATATTGAATGATTTATATCACGACTGCTCCTCGCTTGTTGCCAAACGATAATATATTTAGGACAATATTTATATAGAAAATTACCAGTTTACTGAAGTGAAAGGTGGGAAAACTGTTCAAACGCGCATGTGGGTGGGCACAAACAGTGCAAATATTATTTCTAAGAATATAGGTGCATTAACATGATCGCACCTTGCTGTATACATTACGGGCAATAGAGAAACTCCAGGTGAACATTTTTGCAATGCTTAATCAGACAAAGGTGTGAGGGCTATTAGAATACCAGTTTCGCAAATCTCGATACAAACAGAACATATTATGAACGTAGTCCGCAACTGCAAAACATGCACGCGATTGTGCTTTATGAAGACGTATAAAGTTATGGCGTTTTATGACGCTTTACGAGCGCCGGCGGGTCTTTGATGTAAGGCTGCAACCTCATTGCACCACGAAACCCGTTTGGTCTTTGCACATTTATAATATTTAAAGTGTTTTAAAGTTATGAATGCACGGGTTATTGCCGTTACATAAACGACATAAACTATTATTTGATTAAAATGCTGGCAGTCTTTTGTTTTCTTTGTCCACTTTTCCTAGATAGCGATAAAGGGCATATTCTTTTATTGTGGTACAGGCTGACAGCGGCTGTATCAAAGTTTTTAAAATTCCGAGCACGCTTCTCGTACATTAAAATTTGCAGTTTGCAAGTGCGACATGCGATAGTAAACAGACGCGTCGAAAATTACCTGTCCATAGTCATTTATGTAAATCAACTTTTGTTCTTATAAAAATCCACTGCTTATTACGAATGCTTCCAAGAAAATTGTTCAGAAAATATGTTCCTAGAAATGCTTACATAACGTATTCTACAGAAACTGTAACTGTATTAACTTATTTCGTTGAGTAAACTGAGACAATACAAGTGATTTATAAACGTCACATAGCTATTGTAAAAAATATGGATCTAACTATATCTTATAATAGAAGTTATGTACTATTCTCAAATGTGCTTTGACCGGGGTTTTTGTATCGGTTGTTTCGATGTTGGAGTCCCATCAATATTCGTAAAATCGCTACTAATATTATAAATACGCAAGTTGGGATAGATGTTTGGATTTTTATTAGAGTTTGTAGCCTACACTGCTGAGAAGATTTAGATCAAATTTGGTTTAGACGTAGAGCATACTTTGGAAGAACACAGCCTGCTTGCTTTTGTTTCTTTTTGTTCCACGCGGACAGAGTCGCGGGCGAAAGCTAGACTTGTATAAAATAAAAAAACCAATATTTTTTGTAAAGTTTATTCAACATGTAATTAAAAACTACATTGTCTATAACTTTCATGTTTCATACCTTATCACAGATTAAATAAAATGGTGGGGGGTCAGCTTTGCGTTTAGAAATACTGTAATATTGTGCAAATATATTTCACATCTCTGTAACGTACAAAATTTACGAATATACATTATATAACATGCGTTCAATACGTATAATATATATTTAACTATTTCAAAGTATTAAGTGTGTTTTTACTAGTAATAAGATTTCTATGTGACAACTACTATAGACTAAATAAAGGTGCAATTTCATTAGTAAATAACCTTTTAAATATTCGTGCAGGCTTCGCATACAGGCTAATAATTTCAATAAATTATCTAGTGAAACAAAAGTATGGACTATCGCTGAACGCATGCGGGCCCTCACGACATAAAAAATGTAACTCAAAATGGCGGGTGTAATTAATTTCGTTATAAGTTCGTTCTAGAGAAGGTACTATTTTTTTAAACGAGGTAGTAAATATAACATTTTGGGTACATTTTTTTAGTAAGTGGTATAATTTAATTCGATATGGTACACCCGCCATTTTGACTATCACATAAAAATGGTTCTCACGTACGAGGACAAGAAATCTCTCGCACTAAGAGTTATTTACTAACGAAATGCCGCAAGGAACTGTGCAATATCCCTGTTAGTGACGTCATAACAATAATAAACAATGATTAAGAGTGAAAATGATAAGCTTATATGAATTAAAGTTTGTTAGAGCCTGTCCCACTACTGGCTGATAGAGGTTCAGATAGCTTAGAAAGACGTCACTGTCAGATAGAATACCAAGATATTTCCATCACATATTTTACACGTTGGATTGTTATCAGAATATTTATAATAGTGGAACAGACCCTAAATATTGTAAATTGTACAATTGTTAAAAGTCAACAAATGTAAATTTACGTATTTCAATTGGATTTGAATTGTTAGTTATTTTTAACAATAACAGGTATAATGAAGTTGTCAGTATATAAACCGATAGTTTTAATATATCTGTGTATTTGTACATTAGTATTTTTATTGTGCATTTGCAATAAGGCAAAAAACTTCTATATGCATACAAAAGGTATAAAATGTTATTGTGTTATTATTTTAAGGCATTTCTAAAAGTCGTCGGTTATTTCAGTCACCATAGACATTGTCATTATTGGACATGTTAGGTGTAATCTATGGTTTTTTATTTACTCTATGGAGGACATTTTATTGTTTTCGTGACATTTCAATTATCAATAACAATGGTTCAATAAATAACAAAGTGGCATTGACCGACAGGTGTGGCATTGGCCGACAGGTGTGGCAATGTGGTGTGGCATTGGGGTGGGTGTGTGGCGTGGCTAGGAGGGCACCATGGCACGGCTGCGCTTGGCCTGCGCGCCCTGGCGGCGGTTGTGGTTGGCGCGAGAGGACTTGTGCTTCTCCTTGCGCTCCCTGTTGGCCACCACCTCCTTGTCCTGACCCTGGCCCCGCGCCTTGCCCACCACGTCCATGTTTCTGGAATATTACATTAGAAATAAATACTTTTTAATAACAAAACTGGCTTTATTCACATGATAATCTAAAAATTAAAACATTTTATTATTTACATAACCTAAAACTGTTACAAAGGTTAAAACCCAATACTTAAATAACAACAAAGGCCTTCGCCATTGGATAATAATTACCGTTATGATGCCAATCTCAACTCTGCTGCTATTGGCTTGTACTTTTTGTCCCTTACATTTTTTCACCCCCAAAATTATATAGCGTCTAAATATTTAGCCTATAGCATGTAAACGTAGGGATTTTAAAAAAACAGAATTAATAAAAAATATGCAGTGATTTCTTAGATTCTACATAACAATTTGTTTTTATAGTATTATAGTAGTTAAAAGCATAAATATCAATAAATAAATAGGATTTTTACTGCCACAAAAACACTACATAAGACATCTAATACACAAAACCTTAGAGGTAGTAAAAAAAGAAATGTGGCAAAAGGTGGCAAGCTCAGCTAATGCAGGGGCGGCGCAGGCCGTTACTGCGCTGGTTTTTAGTTGGCTCTTTACACGTAAGTATTAACACATAAGTAGGGTGAGTTAACGTAGACAGACATTAAAATATAAAAGTAACAAGGTATGTCTGACCGTGGCGGCTGACGCGCTCCTCGCGCTCCCCGCGCCGCGCCGCGCCGCGCCTGCCACGCCGCCTCGCGCCGCGCGCGCACCTCCTCGGGGTTCACACAGAAGTCTAGCTTATTCCTACTTGCACTCGCTACTTCTTGCTCCTTCTGCGTCTCCTCTTCTTCTTCCTCTGATTCAGTCTGTGAACATTATTACTGCCAGTAAACAACACGAAAATGTTTGTTAGAGCTTGTAGCCTAAACGGTTGAACGGATTAAGATGAAATTTGGTATGCATACTCACTTTTGTTTTTTTTTTAATGCCACACGAGGAGTCGAGGGTGAAAGCTAGTAAAAAATAAAGCAACGTTAGTAGTGAATGTGTACCTCTGGTCTCTGCGCGAGCACCCGCGGCGTCACGAAGGGGCGACGTGCGTCCTCCGCCTCCGCCTCCGACACGTGCGGCGCCTCCGCCTCGTACGTGTCGTCGTACTCGTCCGAGTACATCGCCACCTCGTCGCACACCAGGCTGACACATCATGTCTTAATTATTGTGCTAAATATTTTAGCGAAATTGTACAAAATAATCCAGTTGCTAAAGTTAACTTGTTCTCGATAAAAACAGACAATATATAGTAATATGAGAAAGTGTTTTTCCAGAAAATATTTCAAATTTACATATTTTAACATAAAATTTTTTGAATGGATAGATAGATGTTTGTTAAAGTTTGTAACTTCGAAGTAAAAACAACATAGTATCTCAAAACTTCTCAAGGTCAAAAAGTCAAAAATCGATTTATTTTTATTATTTCTGGTACAAATAAGTGTTAATTAATAATTCTATTCATTATTTTTTTTATTTTAAAGTTGGTTTTGATATCGTGTTCACAGTAAAATACTTCAAGAGTGTATTTCTATATAAACTAACGTAAATGAACTGTGTATTGACAACACAGCGACGCCATATTAGATAAGGCATTTGCTTCGACCAATAGCGTGCGTTTTAGAACTTAGCGAGGGAATTTGAAAAAGACACTTTTTAATTATTAAATTTTGCCACTAGATAAAATTATATTAAAAAAAATCTTTGCAGGAATGTTTTTATAGTAATAAAGTATATTTAAAAAAAGTTTGGTACAATTTGGCGTCACATGCATATTGCCTATTCACACTTTCATTTGTAACAAGAAATAAATGCAATCATTAACAAGACACAAAAAGAAGTACATTTTATATAAATGAGTATTTACCTGTACTTAGCGTAGATATCGCGGCTGGTCCTGACGTGGGCCTTGTCGTCGAGCAGCTGCGCGAGGTCCTTGTGGTGTGCGCGGCGCTTGCCGAGGTGCACGCGGCTGAGGTCGACGTCGTCGCGCGTCATCAAGTCGAACTCGTCGCCGTCGAACACGTTGAGGCGCTGGATGCCCGTCTCCAGGAACTTCTGGTCTACCACGTCCGCGGGGATGATGGGCAGGGACCGGTCTAGTGCTGGGAATGTTTTTAAACTATTTTTATGTAGGTACTATTTTTTTAATAGAAATGCTATCGTATAAATGAAAACGTACATAAAAGTTTATTTGTAGTATTTTTGGATTGTAGAAGAATTTTTTTAATAGCTATTTATATAGATAAGTTATAAAACCTATATATTTAAGTTACTAGCTGTTACTCACGACTTAACACGTGAAAATTAAAAATGATAGCCTACGTTACTCGATAATAACGTAGATTTTTTAATGGTGAAAGAATTTTTGAAATCGGCCTCCCCAGTAGTTTTTGAGATATTTCAATGCATATAAACATACAAATCTTTTCTCTTCATAATAATAAACACCTGTTACCTTTTAAGGGTTCTGCCAAATTATCTTCTAATAAGCTATTAATAACTCTCTCTGCATTAAATCCGTAATGTTGTAAACATTTCAATATAAAACCATCTCCTAAATGTGGCAGAATATCTTTAACTTCAGTAATTAAGGATTCCTCTCTTATATTATCTGGTATCTCGTTGTCTATGGTCGGAGCGGGCAGCGCGCGCTGCTCACTGTCTGCGCTCTCAACATGGCCGTTTGTTAAATTCGCGTTATTTATTAATATATCGTCAGGTAAAGGCTCCTCTAAATTAGAATATATCGCTTGTAATATAAAATCTGTTTTCACTGTATCACTGGTCATTTCACTAAGAAAATATCATTTATACATTTTCTAAAATAGTTTATTAAAGGCTAGTCCCACCAAATTGTTTGATAACAATCCAACATGTAAAATGCGTGATAGAAATATCGGATTTTATTCATGTGATTGTGACGTCATTTTTAAGCTATCTGAGCCCTGTATCAGACAGTGGGACCGGCCTTTAATGTTTTTTTAGAGTATTTTTTCTTGATTGGAAGTGTTTAATATGTTTTTACTGTTAAAATAATGATAATAGTGATTCAAAGGATACATGTCGGGGTAGGCCTGCCGCAGCAGCTCCAGGTCGTCGTTCAGCGGGTAGCAGAGGTGATAGTCTCTGATGAGCAGCTTCTCCGCCAGCACCTCCAGAACCAGCGAAAGAAAGTCTTCCACATGACTTGCTATACTACCTCTGGATAATAAAATCAGTTTAAAATGTACTTATTTGGAATTATCATATTTATACAGCTCTAGCAATAGAAACTTACATATATCTTATTTAATTGGTTGGATATTTTTAGAATTTGTAGCCTAAACGGCTGAACGGATTCCGATGAAATTTGGTATAGACGTAGAGGATAGTCAGGAAGAACATATAGGCTATTCATTTTTTTTTTATTCTTCACGGAGTCGCGGGCGTAAGCTAGTTTTTAATAAAACTTACTCGCCACTGAATATATTGTTCTTGTAGACGGCCAGCATCTCTCTGAGTATGTTGATGAGCTCAGCGCGAGCCAGCTCTAGGTGCCCCTCAGTCTGCCCCGCCCCCGGCCCCGCCCCATGCGCTGTCTGCCCCGCCCCCAGCCGCTCGTACAGCTGCGGTATGCCGTACTCGTACAGCTGGACTATACTGGAACATTACCTCACTAAACCTCACATACTCACACTGTCAAATTAATACGGAGCAATCAAATTTATATATGAAGAACAGAAAATCAATGCATATGCAATCTTAATAGGTTTAATTATGCGTACCAACTTTCAAAATAAAAAAAGCATTTCGCCAAACATTTAAAAATGGATAGTAGAGAATATAGCCGAAATCAATAGAAATAATACATTTTTAATGTTATAATCAGACTTACTAAAAACAGTCATGTTTGTATGATCAATTTAAACACAACCAAAATAAATCCATAGACAATGTTATTGCTAGCCGACGTGTCAATAATTCCTCAGTCCCATTAAATTCCGCTATACACAGATAATATAGTTATAATAAAACGAGACTCACGTTAAAATTAAATTAGTTTTCCTGTATATGTGCACCGCATTGGGGTATGTCTCTATAAATATCCTGAGCGTGAGCGCGGTGTCCAGTACATGCAGGACGAGGTCCTGAAGGACGTCTTGCGTCAGCTTGTCTTTAGTGCTACCTGAGGGCCGCCTAATTTCGCTGAAGCCTTTGAAAGTTTCAGGAAGGTTAAGCGGTTCATCACTGTCGTAGTCTTTATTTACTTGAAGTATTATGTATTTGAAAGCCTTGAAAATATATAATCAAACATTTTAATAAATAAAATAATATATAAATATTAATTATTGCTAATCCAAATATGTGTTGAATGTGTTACTATCACAGCCGGGTTGGTAGTCAATTTGGTTTACATTAAACATAAAAAAAATCTTACTTTTCGCTTATATACTTTATACAGCATGTTATGACATATAAAAGGTTAAAGTTTTAATTTTACTAATATTATAAATGCAAAACACTAAGGGCCTGTACCACCACTGTCTGATAGAGGCTCCGATACCTTTAAAGTAATGTCATTATCAGAATACCAAAATACCATACTTCCATAACATATTTTATACTCATAAGAATTGTGGGACAGGTCCTAAAACCGCCTAATGGATTTAGATTAAATTTGGTATAGGTGTAGAAAATAGTGTCAAAGAACATATAATAGTACATTTTAAAAAAAATGCTGAATGGACGTAATGTTCGCGACAGCTAGTTGTTAAAACATACCTCTTTTACGAATGCTATAGCCGCAGCTGTGTCTCTTTCATACTGCGGCTGTAGCCTGAACACAGCATCTAATAGCCGAGCCACATGTTGCTGGTTGTCAACACCATACGTCAGACATATATCCCATATCACTGGCACTGTGAACACAAACCTGTCATATACCAATGATGCCATATATTCTTTGCTCATCCAACATATCTGAAAAAAAAATCCATTGTAGCCTTTATTAAAAGAAAGATTTAAACAGTAAGGTTTTCCATAATTAAATATATATATATATATATATATATACAGTAAATTTATGTATGTAGTAAAAAATTTAGCAACTTACTTTACTTTCTTTGTTCGTAATTAGTCTACTAAAAATAATAAGAACCAGTCTTCTGATTTCCTCATACAATTTCTGTACATCTTTGTTCTCGTGCGGAGGCATGTATGGGGGACTGGCCTCTTGCAGGAACGACACTAATGCATCCATACAACTTGTGTGATATAATATTGTACTCCAAAACCTGAAAAAGTAAAAAATTACCAAAGTTTATTACTCAATATATATATATAATATTTTTGTATTGAGTAATAAACTTACTAAAGTGTGTTGTCAGTTAAAAATAAAATTGAAATGAAACCAAGTGTTAAGATGTTTCATCAACAAGAAAAAAATAAATATTTTTGTGGAACAAAAGTGTATACTTCCTAAAATCTTTACCTATGATGTGGTAATGCCAGCAGAAACTTCAGATCCTCTAGATATACTTTCATCTTCATAATCCAAGCATCAACTGCTCCTAGCACAAGGTTGCTGCTGGAAGGTGGCCTTTCATATGGAGGAAATTTTCTCTTCTCCACCCAGTATGTATCCTAAAATATTTATAAACACCGTTTTCATTTTTTTATTATTAAATACTGACTGCAAGCCGCAGTTTCTAGTCGTTTTAATATTTATCTAATTTATTAAAACAATAATAAGACTAGGCCTTAGGTTTCTATTAATATTAACAACAATACAAAAATTATTATGAAATATCAAGAAATCTATAAAATTAAACTTACCAAAGCTTTAATGTTTTGTACAACACCGTCATTAGAAACAGAGAGTGTTAATTTTTCAACTGGTAAATAGTCTGGGTTCTGAAAAAATTGCAAAAAATTACAATATGCTTTTGATTTTAGTCATTGAAAACAAGTCATGTTTAACTCTACTAAACACTTTTTCTCACTTACAACAAATTCTACATATATGTTTGTCATGTTGAGACAAAAATGTTCTGAATTAATCTTTAAATTAGGCTAAAGTTAAATAAATTCGTGTTTCAATTAGATTTATAGCTTACGACAGCAATATCAAAGTATGGACAAGTACTTGACATGTTTGACATTGACGTTTCCAATTGACATTGACACTTTGATAGACAGCTGATTATGACTACGACACATTGCTTTTATTAAAAGGGATTTTTTACGTAATAGATCTTACTTTTCATTTTCTTAACCTACGTAAACTAACTTCCCCTACCATAAATTGACATAGTAATAATCGAATAATATGATGAAACATTGTGTACATTTTACAAACTTAAAATGTATCATGAGAAAGTCAACAAATCCCAAAGGTAATATTTTAATGCAGCAACATTCGATAATTGTCAAAGTCAATTTTACCAACACAAACAAAAACAAGTCAGTCAACCGATGATGTCAATTTGAATTTTGTTTGCTGGTTTTTGTTGGTTTCCTGCAATAACTTGCGTTTCTAAGATTTTTTTAATGCAGTATTTGCCAGAAAACCTTCTGTAATAGAAATTGTACAACAAATATATTTTATGAAATGACCAGCTGCGATAATGAAAAAATTCGGTACAGACCCTAAAGTTAAGAAAACACTAATTAGAAATTATGAAGAAAAAGCAAAAACCTGCTCCCGCAACCACGATGAACAGACCAATGCTGTACCAAAACAAAATCTTCAAAACAGACATACTCATAACGAGAATGAACTTGGCCAACCAACTTTATGTTCTAGTGAGGTGTTAGCTAATTATTTGACGGATGTTACAAAAAATCCACCTCCACTTCAATGTATCGAAGACAAAAATGTTGATAAAGAAAAAATAAATGCAAAAGTGAGTTACAGATACAAAATTTAGTTAAGAACAATTGCCTAATCAATTAAATCTGTTATTAAAATTAACATAAAAAAACTATTGTAGTGACCACACACACACACACACACACACACATCTTGATTTATTCTGAAATTAATTTTTATCACTTACGCTTATCCGCAATTGAGCTTTTGAAATTTGGATTTCTTTATAGTTGTCTGAAGTAGATTTAAGACCAGTATGTCATGTTGAAAATTAATTATGATATCTTGATGTGTTCATCTCAATTTTATTAAGAAACCTCTAATTCTTAACTATTATAGTTAGCTATCAGTTTATTATAAATACTTTGTTTTTTCAGATGACCAAGAAGTTAAATTTTCATTTTAATGAAAAACTATATAAGAATTTAGTTGAGCTAAACATTAACGCTGAAGTTCATAAAGCAAGGAAGGACAGGAAGCCTCTGAAAGCAACTAAGAGAGACCTCGAACCAAATATTGATGATTTCTGTGAAGATGAAAAAGAAAAAGATGTGCCACCTACAATCCCTATCCCTCCTTGTAAGTTTAAACCTATAAGAAAAATGGAGAGTGGACAGTTACATAAATTGATGGCTTCTTTTGAATTATGACAAATATACTATTCTGTACTTTTATTTGGTTGTTTTAATTTTATCATAGTAAAACTACAATTATTATAAAATATGGTTTATATTACTGTAGAAGTTTATGACAAGAGAATAAAATGGAAGGGTATTATTTTTATTTTTCTACAAATGAATTAGGTACTAAAATGTATTTAAATGCAGCAACATTTGAAAATTGTAACGATAAATTAACCATTTCCCACTTGCCCATGAAATATAAAATCCCGTAAATTGAGTAACATTATGTGAGATTTGTGAACGCGCCGCCGCCACCCGCCGCTGCCGTCGACTAGCTCTCTCTCGCTCTTGAGGAGATGTGAATATACCCGTCTCTTCTATCATCCACAATTTGCCAATAATTTTGTTTCACTCAGCTGTTTCAGTCATTTTCTGACACTTGCCTGTGGTGGTCGTGTTCTCAGTCCCAAAGGGAATTAAATTGTTAACTATATTTTTTCAATTGAAACTGAAATAAAGTCACCATGGCTGAAACAGAAATAATATCTAAAAGTGATAGTAATGATCAATTTTTTGAGGGCGTGGAGAAGTTAATAGAAATATGGTTTACGCCGGCTAAACAAGCAGATTTGAGGAAAATTACACGGTAAGTGAAGAATACACGATTAGCACCCTTCTTTTTACCCTCGGCGGTAATTTATAAAGTCGTTTTTATTATAAAATGTTTATTCAAGATATTTAAATTTGACATGCTACTTGTCTTTAAGTTTTAATAGATAACAAAACTTTATTTACGTAAGGGATAAGGGTTAGTTTTTCTATCCACATAACAAGAACACTATGATATAGCGGCAATCTTTTTGAGATGATTATGTTGACAATGGAAGGTTCTCGAATCAGCTGTTGGGCGAGGTAGGCATGCGTAGCGGAGTCCCGGGCTCGTTGTTTGGCTGGGAGACGCCGCCGCAAAGTCCCGTCGCTAAAATGGGACACATGATTGCATCCTAAAAATCGTATAGGAAAATATGTACATACGCTTGTCTTAACATTAATTCCATTTTTGCTTATATAATTATATCAAAGAACAACGTGGATATCCAAATTTTTTATAGCAGCGCTCTTTGTTTCATTTGGCTTTTGTAAAATTGAATTTAGGAAACTTTTATTTCACTCAAGCTTATTTATATAATTAAGTAAACTTGATAAATACTTTATAAGCAATAATTTTGTTAATTTGTTAAACTGTCTATAACAATGGATTCAAGTTTTTGTGAATTATTTTCATAAGTACAAATATAATAGATTTTTTTCAAAATGAACCTACAGTTCTGTTAAAAGATTTTTAAATCATATCTTTTGAAGTAAGCAGATTGGTTTGAGATTTGGAACCAGTTATCAGATTGAATTGCTTCCTTGGAATCAGTACATCAAAAAACTTGTAATTACAGGGGAGATTGGAAAGTTTGTGAACCTGTTTGGTCTCCCTGAACAGAACAGGTTTTTGGCAAAATGAATGTAACCCATTTTTTTAAAAGATTGATGCATGACTTAGCCGAGAAACTTTCAATATTTAAGAGACATTCAAGTAAAGAATAATATTGTTTCAAATTTTTCCTTGACTTCTCAAAATAAAGTAATAGATTAGCTTACCAAATGTAATGAAAAAACAATTTCCTATACTTCTGGGAACATGCTATTTGTGGATCTGAGTGGAGAGGTGGTTGAAGAATAGGCTTTGGTAAAATTATACTTTTATATTTAAAATTACAACTGACTTATATTACTTGTTGCAGTCAACAATGGGAGAAGGTGCTCAAGATAGTGCGCTGTGAGATCATATCCTTCACAAAAAGCGAGCAAGTTGACGCATATGTACTAAGGTAAGTGAATCACTCTTACATTCCGATATTGTCAGATTTATTCCCAGTATTAGACTGTACAGTTATAGATAATTTATGTACAGTCAAGGACATATATTTCATACCCTTTCACAATTAAATTAGATGAAAATTAATATCAACATTATCATATTTCATACTTCATATTTTACTTTAATATTATAGAGGCGAAAATTTGGATGGATGGACGTTTGTTAGAGTTTATAGCCTAAATGGTTATACGAATTTCGATTAATTTTGGCATATATGAGAGTGGAAGAACACATAAGCTACTCCCTTTTTTTTAATTCCACGCGAATGAAGTCGCGGACGAAAGCTAGTGATTAAATAACGTTCTTATGGTGACTGGTGCTCCGAAGCGGGAAACGAATTTGATTGTATATTATCCCGCGCGTTTATTCCTTACGGATATTGTATCTGTTAACATGAAATGGGTGAAACATTTATAGTTTTATTCCTAATTTATTATTTTGTCGCGACATGTGAATTAATAAAAATAACGCATTTTAATGTATTCGCGATTTGATCATTAATTTATTAAATGTTATGGAAATGTTGATATTTTATAGACAGACTAAATTTAAATTTATGATTCTTTGTCGGGAATAACATGTTGGTACACTAGCTGTTGCCCGCGGTTTGATCTGTTAGTGTATTTGTAGGCCATATATATGTTTTAGCCGTTTAGGAGATAGCAATAGTCCATATAAATATTCGCATTTATTACAATGACTGTATTTTCATGTCGATATCTATATGTGCGCGTCGCGGCGGTTTATTCTGTGTGAGGTGCGTTAGTATAGTATTTTGGTATCAAAATGAAGAAAATATTAATAACACTTAAAAATAGAAATGTTTTCTCACGTGGACTCAATCTTCTCGGAATAATTTTATTATAACATCTCTTCTCATATTAAAACTATCTTATTCAAAGTCATATTTTATTCAATTTGCTGATTATTAATTACCGTCTGGTCTGTTCACACACTATGGCTTACATAGGTGAAAAACGCGTGTAAAATGTTTATATAGCAACAAGATATAACTTGATTAATTAATTTGTAGAATTTCAGCTTAATTTTTGTAATTAAAGCATATCACAGGATATGAGGTCATTTTCGATTTCAGAGAACATTCTAGAATATTTATTACATTATCTACGTCAACAATAATAGATATGGTAATTAAAAACAACTAAATTTAAGATACATCTGTAGCAAAAGGTCGGCGTGTTGCCACTGATAAGATGTTGATAAGATGTCACGACATCGCATCATGGTGTCTCAGTTAAATACAACTGGGGCTAATGAGATCCCTGTACACTTCCGCTACCGGCTTACTGATGGTACTTACATGCTAACTTTGATTGAAGTATTCAATACTAGCTTTCGCCAGCGAATCCGTCCGCGTGGAATTAGGAAAAAAATAAAGCGTTTATGCCTAATTTCTTCGCGATCCGCTCAGTTTAGGCTATAAACTCTAACAATTCGTCGACGTTAGCCAAATTTGCAATTTACATAGTGTTTAATGTTTTTAATTGTAACTGTGTTTTGAAACCATCATTTAAACATATTATAATTTACACATCGGAGCCATTAACTTTATATAGTAGTCTGTTCTCTTTAATTATAAAAATCCCCTTTAGTAAATTGTAGTAATCTCAATGACGTGACCCCCGACCCGGCTGTTGATTACGCCACGTGTCCGCTGATAGGGAATTAGTAAACCTTTATCAGCAATGGTCAGAGGTTATCACTAGATGTAGTAAACTACGCTGAACATCCACCATAGATGTGTTATCACTGTTGCTAAGTGCTGTCCGAACATCACAAATTGATTGGCTCACAGTTTGATAAGTTTCGTGAGGTCAACGTTTGTACCTTGGACTGTGTTCCTTGTTGCGATAAATTAACAATTTTATAAAGACCTCTATAATTATCTCTTTAACTTCAACCAACAATCGTCTGCTGTTAACTATAATAACTTTACATCTTAAAATCTAATTTAAATCATAAATATGGACTATTTTTACTTACTTAGCCCTCAGACGCGGGAGCGCTTTTATAACGCGCGGTAAAAATCGAACAAATGATGTAATGAAATAGAACAAATGCATTTCCATGTCCGTTTATACGGCAACTCTTTTGAAGAGCGACAGTTTTCTATCGCACATAGTTTTTAAGTGATTTAAACAAGAGTGATTTTAAAACGCTCGTAGAAACGAGAACGTTAGAATGGCGCTAACGCCGAGAGTTAAAAAAACGCGCCTGCGAATGAAGGTTAATAATGTTGCATCGATGTCCTCAATTACTAATTTCGTTTTAATGCCAATAGTCATTAAATTTGATGTTAATAGTAAATGTTTAGAAACGACTTTGTTGAATAACACAAATCGTCTATAAAGGCATACGTAAAGTTTTTATAGCCGTGTCAACCGCGAGAACGATTTCCCTCCCGCATGATGCATGCACTTGTCTATTTATGTTGCGCTAAAATTAAAATATTGTCTACACTCGTATTCTGTCTAAGATATAGATATAGTATGGTGACACAACATGGCGTAGTTTTTATAACTGTCGTAAAGTTTACGTTGATGTAAACAGAATTAGCAATTTTCGCCAACGCACGCTACGAATGGTTGAAGTTATAGTTTTCATTTTTGGTCACAGTGTGGCTAAATTAACAAGCTTTTAATTAGTAACAAGTATTCTGTGGTGTATGTAGACAGATACAGCTTTTTTCATAATTAGAGCACCAAAATGCTTGCTGTCAAACTGATTACTCAGTGGAAGTTGCGAGTCGGCTGCTCTTTTCGACATTCAAGTTTTTCTCTTGTTCTTAATTGTTGTGGAACAGGTTTTATGATTTAAACAATTTTAAAATAATTTCATGTGACATTTTATGTTGTGGGTACAAAAAATCAATAACGATATCAGATAACGATTATGATTTTACCTTACATAAGAACGTTATCATCTCTGTCTACGCTGTCTATGGAAAATTCGTCAGCGATTTGACGCGCGTTACGTGACGCGTGACGCTTGATTACGTCACCCAGATGGCAACTTGCCACCACAGATAGTGAAAGCTAATGTCGATAAAGTTCATTTGAAGTTGATATTTTCATGTTTTGATTATCAGGGAAACTTTGTCATTTGTTTTTGCGAAGTGACCGCTCTAGACTCAGATATTTGGAAATATCTGTGAATGTGAATAATTATATTTTCATCTTAATAACTAATAATTAATAACCTGAACATCAAGAAACACACAAATGTAGAAAAAGTGCGACCTTCAGGCTTAAACCCGCAATGTGATATTAACGCATATGACGTAAAACTAAATTTGATGATCAAATAATTACGTCTTTTATTTTTTGCACATACGAGTATATAGAAATTTTGACAATATCCATGACGCAGCTTGGCACAGAACGTAGTGATTCTTCTGATTAGAAATGCAACTTTAGGGGCTAAAAATTAAGAGTACTTTTGCAGACAACTAGAATAACGTATGGAGAAAAATAGGGTTGTCTCTTATGTTACATACAAACCAGTACATAATGTAAAATGTGACATAGTGAGTTATTAGGCGTTAATAAAATATTTAAATAACTGTTGAAGCAATTCAGAGAATTTTACTTCATTCTGAAAGCATTATTGAACGGGTTCACATAATAAGTGTTGAAAACGACGTAACATCCGTTGGCGTAGGTAAACAGACGCGAACTAAACCCCTCACACCACACTTCACATCATACCTCACACCACGCCTCGTGTCTCCTGTGAGAAGTGGCCACGGAAACTGGCTCTTGTATGTCATTTGACGCTTTGTCAGAGCGAGAGCTTACATATGAGGTGTAAAATATAAGGGGATTTGAAATTTATTTTAGATGATGTTATGATGGACACGACACGAGCAGGGGCGTGACCCTACGCACGCCGCTTTACTGCATCACACACCAGGCACACTCCAATAAGGACTTTATAATTACTATTTCGACATAGATAGTTTATAAAATAGTTATTAAAACGTGCAACTGAAAACGGTCTTTATATAAACAGTTTTTTCTCGATCATCAGCCAGATTATTCTGCTATATGTAGCGAGTGTTTAGTATGATTAATCTTTGAAAGTGGTCATGTCATCTTGTTCTTTCTCCTGCGTACCGTACAATCATGTTTTAAAAAAAAACATGTGATACACAACTTTCGGAAATAACTAGTCTATAAATATCTAGAAGCGGGAATCGAACCCGCAAAAATAAACCGTACAATCACGCTCGATGTAGGTCAACGTGAAATATTATATTAATACTAGGTCAGACCTGTTACACTGATCATTGGACGAATGTTTGTAAATAACAGATCTGATGACAAACATGTCCAAACGGCCGCGACCGCAAGCACGGCCGCATACCAGCGTGGGAACTGGTGGCCGAGACGTATTGTTACTGACTTCCGATTACATTTCCAAGACAGTATTTACAACAAGAATGACGATATAACGTTCATTGTTTACCAACAAATGTTCAACTACAGCTTCAAGCAATTTAGGTAACCATCGTACAGCGACCGTAGCCAGGGAGAGTTATTAAGAATAGTAAATCGAGCTGAAAAGAATCACGTCGTCGCTGCTACCGCTATCAATTCAACGAATCGTTGATAAACAAGTTGATAAACGAACCATAAACAATGGTGCACATGACGCGACACGCGGCGCACCGGGATGAAGGTCATACACACATACAGACGCATTAGATGGAATATTTTTACATGTCTCAATCGCAAGTTTCGGAACGAGTTTGGATGATTACGTTTCCGCATGCAAATAATGTATAGAGAAGCCTCCAAAACTGTTAAAACACAAACAAAGTTTATGGAACGATATTTTGTATTAATCTGATACGACAAGACCATAAAGGAAATAAAAAGTAAGGTCTATTGATTCCTACGTCTAAAAAGTTATATAATTTTAAACAAAAATATACATAAAAAGTAATGTTTGTTCTGATGCTGAATCATATGATACTATCACGATATGTCACATCAACGATCGGCATTGTGGGGCTATATTTACGAGCACTTGAGAACAAGCATCGTTCACACGTCTTGAGACGTCCCCACCCTGCCACCCTGCCGCGGCGGGGGCGCCCGGGTAAGGTCAAGGTGCAAGGCGCGCATGCTCATTGCACGTTGTCACCGTCTCTACCTCGTCACGGTCTCGTAAAGTGACGTGACGTACCGTATATAGAGTGAACGATTAAATAAAGCCGTAATTTTCTGCCGCACCAGGAAATGAAATAGTAAACATTATTCGCAAATTTAAAATTATGTGTTGTGTAAAACTAGCTTTATTATTACAATTAGTAATAATATAATAAGAATCTGTAAATGCTACCACATCAATATTCATGAGATTTTTTTAATGTTCTGACACACATAACTTATCTTGATTTATGAATATTGTTATGCAATTATATAGTTTGGCTTGAACTTTTATCAAAACTTGTTTGATTCGCGTCAACGGATTATTTTATCAAATTTTTTTTTAACACATTTCATATAATTAAACGAATATTGAAATAGAATTTGTAATAGAGAAATATTGTTTTTCTTCAGAGTTTATTCAAACCTATGAAATTTTAAAGTAACTACAGTTCACGCGTAAGACGATGTTGATTAATCTGAAAGATCCTTGCCGAATAGTACATCGGTTCAAATGGGATAACAAAAACATGTCCGGCGTTAGCGTGGGCGCGCAAAAAGCATGGCCTTCGGTCACAAGCCGACAAGCGAGCGACACGATGATTGGCCTTAACAAACGATCTCCAAGGCCGATCTCTCACTCTTATGTAACACGAGCCTCGGGCCGGACCATTGTCGGACATAAATGTCTACGTATAAAGATGGACTTTTTTTGCAATGCTATTTGATGCGAGCTAAACTTTTTGGTGCTCTTTTGTATTGTCTGGATTCAAATTAACATGACAAGAAATATTCGTTTATGCGCAGTAATTTACGACGCTCCTGTATGGAATGAAATTATATTGGGAAATGTTTGTTTGCCAATTGCATGTCGCATTTGATATATCTTTGTGAACGCTCACTTCCCAGTGCGTTGTCTGTGATACATTAAATTATGTAGACATTAGTTTTCTATTGTAAATGGCGATTTTTAACTATTACATCATATCTTACTATTGTAAATGCGAAAGTTTGTATAGATGTTTGTTACTCTCCGAAACGGCGTAACGTATCTCGTTGAAATTTGTCTCGGAATATATTCTGGAAGAACACAAAGGCAACTTATAAGTCCGCCGTAACATTGGAAGATCCTGGCCATTTAAAATTCAGCCAAAAATAAAACTCAAATGCTTCGTTTAATTTTATTGATGAAAACAAGAACTATCTTTAATTCTACCAAAATTGAGAAATGTCTTTTCCCAAGTATCAATAAGTAAAAATGCTTTTCAAATCGCATCTGTTATCGCTTGTTATCGTTTATTATTTATTTTACATTATCACAATTAATTTTAAGCACACATTTTAATCAGCGAGGTTCTGTTTGCTTAGAGAATATGTTTAAACATCTCGCTACATTTCTATACATTTTGCATTTAATTTACAATATTATGTTAGTAAGATAAATTAAAAAAAAGATTGTTAAAAAACTTATTTTTCATTGTGTAACATTTTTATATCTGTTTCTCGTAAAACCCAGCTTTAAAACGCTTTGCAATGAAAAACGCGTGTTTGATAAAGCTGCAACTTACATATACATACGTACTCGAATATAACGTAACATCGCCATTTACAATGTAATAGGCTATATAATATGCATGTCAATATAATTTAAAAGCCTGGGAGGCTCCGGAGCTGACGAGCGCCGCCCGGTAGAAGCTTCCAGAATGTAGGCAGCTGCATACGGCTGGGGAGACCCTGTATCGATCGGCACCTGCGCCGTGCAGCACCACCCATCCCCCTCGCACCCCCACCCTACCGCAGCTCTCTCACTCACTCTGTTTACATGTTTCGGTGCTTACCCGATCTGATTGTTACAATGTACAAATTAATTTTGATACCTGTGTTGTTTCATTGTTCTTTTGCGATGTTTTTAAAACGATTGTTAATTGAATGCTTGGAGCAGCAATGGTTACCTATTTGAAGCATTTATTGTATATTTATATTAATTAAACTCCATAATCTGCAAATATGTTTAATGATTTTTTTTAAAATTTATCTTTACAGGGGGCTTTGTCGCCAAGTAACGATAACGCCCCATAAATCTAACTCTCAAAAACTCAGTTATCCAACTATTTTCTTAAACAATTTTTAATGATAAATGTACAAAGTATGTTTGTGCAAATCGATTTCAAATTATTTCCGCTTCTAATTTGTTGATAATTCGAAATTCTCAGTTAGTGACGGCGATTGTTTCACTTAGAAGTCGCGTGTTTTAAGTTGTATGTGCACACAAAGCCGTAAAATTCACCTATGTATTATTTGCATAGTAATATTGTGTATTTTTCCTATCTAAGAGATTTATTTCCTATTTTTATATGTACATTGAAATTGTACAATGTAGTTACAGTTTACTGTCTATTGCGTTGTAAATCAATATCGTACAAAATCGTTATTTGATTTACGAGCATGGAGGATGGAGTGGGCGCCCCCCTGCGTCCTGGTCCACAGCCACCCCTCACCCCCCCCCATTACACCTGGCTGCGCCTGTTGCATCTCATCTGCACCACGCCCAAACACATTCAAACAACAAAACATAAATCTTTTAATATACAGGGTTTATTATGAATGTCGTTAGAACCTCTTCGTAACGACTCTCTCGTAAATGTCACGAAAGTATTTGTGATAGACCCTTACATAAAAACCTTTTAAAAAGTCTCTAGTTTAATCATTTTGCTGTATATTTTACTAGTAACGTATTTTAGCATTATTCCATTCCTCTTTGACGCATATTTCAGTCCCTCACTACTTACAGGACTTGAAACATATTCAGAACTTCTGGTGTAAGCCGTTCGCATGTTTCAAGACGATGCTAGTATGTAAGATACCCGGTGACAGCGCCTAATTCCGCCTCTCTATCTCAAGATATCCGTGTTAGCACAATGGGGACACATTGATAATTGCTGTCCTTGACTATGCAAACTGATTACATGCCACCAGTTATTCTGCCCTTAATTGTTTATTTATATAACAAACATAATATATCTAACGTTGACTAAGTTAGGGCAACATGTTCATAATATTTATTTATATGCTGTTATGTAGGATTTTTATGTGCAAGCAATTGTAAATTATTGCATTTTGTTATGTCATTTAAATTAACTTTACTGTCGAGATAAGAATATTTTGTTAATTGTCAGATACGTCAGTTTTAAGTATTCTTGCTGATAATATTTCATAAAGATTGTGAGATGCGTGCATTTTGCGGTAATTCCGATCGCCGAGTGATCTCTAAAAAGTCGTGTATTGAGGTCAATCGATAAGGCGTTAGGTTAGTTATCCCACTTCGTGTTAGTGCTAACTACTAATGTACCGTGAACACGACCACTTAACTATTGCTTGATTTATGTCAACTTACTTACTGCGGAATAAGACTTATATTTCAATACTGTTTTTGAACGGGTTTAGTCAGATTTTGATTGTATTAAAATGACTAAAAATATAGCTTTAATGAATATATTTCGAGTAATAATCTTATGTGCTAAGTATTTGAACCCTAATCGAGTCAGGCTGTTAAATAAAAGTTTTTTTATTGATCTTAAGAACACTCGCTTGTGTCTTCATAACACCCATGTGCTAATTCGTGTGTGTTATAATATAGTGTTATTCTATTCCAGTGAGAGCAGCATGTTCGTGTCGCGGCGGCGCTGGATCCTGAAGACGTGCGGTACGACGACGCCGCTGCGCTGCGTGCGCGCCGTGCTGGCTCTGGCACGCGACGCAGCCGGACATGCCCGTGTCCATAATGTCTTCTACTCGCGCAGGGAGTTCGCACGCCCGCACGCACAGCTCACACCACACGACAACTTTGATTCAGAGGTCAGTCATGTTTATATTACGTGAATCGATGTGCTCTGAATCATTTCAAATTATCAGCTAATAGATTTGAACCGTTCAGCTGCAGTTCACGACTCAACGTGATGTAACAGTGGGAATGAGCTGCGAACTGTTCATCATGAATTTATACATCTATGTAGGTACTTTAGGTGATCTGTGAGCCGGTTCTGATCTGCTTCATCCATTCGAACCGCAAACTGATTGTCATCGATTTAATTTGTCATGTCTATAAAACAATGACTTTCGTACAGTATTAATCATTCAGTTTACATTGCTTAATGGCAATACGTTTATCAAATTGCTTTTGTCATAAGTCGTTAAGATAACTCAGCTATTTTAAACTTTTAAATATAATTATCACAATGACACGTTTGTTATCAGCGCGCAGGGAAGCTGGCTTCAGCCGCTTCTTACAAAGTTCACAATCTATTGTCTTATCTAATGTTCCGCATCTACACATAATTAACATTTATTGATAACACGAAAAGGAATATTTAAATGACGGTTCCAGTTACATCACTATGTTACTTTAAAGCTAAACTTACACTTTACATATTTAAGTTAATTTTCTCATTGTAAGCGATATTTTGTGTTTTTACGAGAATATCTTTCAACCTAAAGCGGTCTGTTATCAGATTTATTACTGTACCCCTCATTGGATTAATAACATATCTCGTAATGCATATAATATAACTAACTATGTTACTGTCTAGAATTGATAAGGTATTAAGTACATGTGTCGATAGAGTTAGTCATGCGAATGCACTGAAAGTTCACTCGTGTGCCTGATACCGCATGTCATGTCTAGATTACGACCTTCGTTGCTCTGTAGTGAATTACTTTATATCGTAGGTATTCGGTTCGAGTCTCAGTATAGGGAAATTATGTAAATTATTGTTTTTAGAATTTACGGTTTTTAAACCTTTCGGTAAAGAAAACGAACGGGCATAGTTCCTCTTTTTAACTGACTTCCCAAAAGGATGAATGTTTTCAATTCGTCTGTAAGTTTTTTAGTATTTGTATTTGTGTCGCGAGCAATTGAATTTATACAATGTATGTGACATGTGGCTGTTACACGCGTATGGACTACATAACTATTGAAGTATCATGTGACTAACCACCGGCTATATTAAAAACATAACAATAAATAGTTCCCTTTCTGTTAATTACGTGTCATTCATTATAAATAATGTTTTAAAATATTAACATGGTAAATATGAAAGTAATAAATACCTTTTTATCGTTAATCAAAGAACAATGACTGTAAGCGTAGAGAGGTCAATTCATTCAAACTAAGTTTATCTTTACACAACTCGTTGCTTGACGCGTGCTTTGCTATAACTATTACTAGACATAGAACTATATGCAACTTAGGGTGAGTTGCACCATATCGCCGGTTACCGTTAAAGTTAAAATTATTTGAAATGGTAATATTTGGAATAATCTTAAAATTTACTAAGGATGAGTTACATCAACTAACTATAAACCTTAACCAGCACATTCCCGATGGTTACGTCTTCGGATGTTCATGATATTCGCTACACCAGTTTTGCGCTGGTCAAAATGACGTCATATTTGACACTAATCATAACCGCCCGATTTTGGGCGGTTACAGTTAGCGTTACGGTTAGTGTCAGTTCGGTAGTGTCAACTGTCACAAGCTCTTATCTTCAAAAGCACAAATAATGGAAAAAGTAATGGAAAAAGAAAATATCTACTATTATCCTATACGTAATCCAGAAGAATAAAGTCTTGCGTGCTCGGAAATAATGGATTTCCAAGATGGAACTCGAAATTTGGCCAAACATTCAGTTTGGACAAATTTCGAGTGTCTAAGGCCATAGCAACAGCGCTTGTCCCTTTTCTCTTATTTAAAAAATGTCCTCTATAAAAGGTCAATTTATAATATGCATTGACAGGACAATTTATAATATGGAAAATAAATAAGATGCATTTATATTTGTATAATTTTATTGCTTCATTTTTGCTACATATTTGAGTAGTAAAGTAAATACAGTTTCAATAATGGCCCAAACTAGTTTATTTTCACAAGAGTTTGCCATTTTCTCCATCTTCGTGGGCAAAAAGTTTATTTCACTATAAAATACCATGCGTATGATACATAAATATAATCGGCGAAACATGAATTTCCAAACATTTTAATTTACGTAAATGTCATTCTTGACACCAACTTGACACTTTAGTGACATTCAGGTTTAAATGTTTCCATTGTAAAAACGAAAAACACATAAAACCTCTGTGAGAATATGTTTTTGCACTTGTAACCCTATTATAACTTTTACGATAACCAGCGATTTGATGCAACTCACCCTTAATGATTTTAAGCGTGCGTCTCCACTTACCATACATGTTGACATGTTGGTAAAAGCTATACGTTAAATATAATTTAATATAACAATGTTTACTTTTAATTGTAACGTTATTTTGCTAAATAAAGTGCACGTGTATGTAATTATTGATTAGTACTGTAATCATAAAGTGACCTCTAATTTATAAAGTTAAACAACTTGGGCTTTTTAGAACTCGTTTTATCGACCACTAGCTGTTGCTCGCCACTTCGCCCGCGTTAAATTTAAAAATAATATAAAATATAGTCTATGTTACTCGCAGACAAATTACCATTCTAATGGTGAAAGAATTGAAATCGGCCCAGTAGTTTTGGCGCGAATCAAATACTTACAAAAATACAAATCTTTCCTCTTTATAATATTATTATAAAAGTATAGATTAAATATGGTAGACGATAATGCATTCTACAGTGGAATATGATTTTTTTAAAATCATGTTTTATAAATTACTTAGTACTGATTTACGTTTTCTTTTTACTTACTGCATTGTATATGAAGGACTCGCTTTATATCTATTTAAATAAGTTAAATAATGTAAAACAACACACAAATTGCAAACATCTTACGACATATTTACGATGAGTTTTATTCGTGTTTGAGGTAATTTTATTGCATTGTAAATGTTACTGCGGAGGATGTTGAGATGCGAATAGTTTTTGTAATTTGCAATGCGACTGGAAAATGTAGATAGAATAAAATAAGTGCCCAAGTATTTTCTTAAAGATGTGGTCTAAAAAATAGCTTGTATGCAAGTAGCTGGTGCTCTGGTACACTTGCCACCCCCTGTACATATAGCTAGCACATTTAATTTTGTGACAGTAGTGCAAATAATTTGGTGGAGAGGTTGAGGGGGACGGTACTTGCATATGTGTTCTTGCCTCTATATTAACATAATATTTTATAAGGGTTGGAGTCGTTTGTTAAGTATTTGTAAGAGTTATTTAGTCTATAAATTATTTATCTTTGCAGGTAGAATTGCTGGACTCCTTCTTCGGGGACGGGCGCGCATATATCATGGGTCCGGAGAAGGACTGCTGGTATCTATACACACTGCTGCCGCTGGAAGGTACGCACTGTCCCTTTGTAGTATTATCGCGTATAACATTTTATTCATAGTTAATAGAGATATCTTACTACTCTCCAGTCTTTTTAAATGCCATTTGTTAATCAGAAAACGCTTAATCTTAATGTAATTAGTGTACTTTTCCTTATAAAAAATACAAAATACCATTTAGTTTTTCCAGAGAACTGATAACTTAGGATCAATGGTTTATCGCGCGGCCGCAGATGTCGCTGCGTGACTCACACCACACGTTCATAATGTTGTATACATAAACCCTTAAATATTACGCAATACCGTACATATTTGCTCTGCAACAAATGCAATATGGGAATCATTAAAATGATCAGATTTTTTAAACTTTTAATGAAGAAAGTTTCCGTTCGGAAAGTATTGTTTCCTCAACAGTTAGTGTTGTGTGTGCAGGCACGGTGGCAGCGCTGGAGAAGGAGCACCGCGAGGCGAGCGAGGCGGGCGCGGGGCGCGCGGCCGGCGAGCCGGACCAGACCATTGAAATCCTCATGTCGGACCTCGACCCCAACGTCATGAGCATCTTCACACGCGCGCACAGCGCCTCCGCACACCACGCCACCAAGGTGCACACCACACCACACACGGGCCGCGTGAACCCCACATGCAGCCTATGTACATCATAGTATAAAATTAGTATTAATATAATAAATAGTGTGTAATTCCCCGCAGGAATCTGGTATAGACAAGATAATCCCCGGCATGGTGATCGATGACTACCTGTTCGACCCCTGCGGGTACTCCATGAACGGCGTCGCTAAAGATGTGAGTACAACCTTACAGTGCTTTATGTCCTCTCTACATCATACGAAACTAATTGAATGGTTAATGTTTGTTGTCATGCGATCAGAGGGAGAGCGACATACCGTCAGTAAGTCACAACCAAGTATTCCGTATTAAAGTTATTGTAGTGTGTCTTTCTTTTTTGTATTCGTTTTAGTCGTAAATGATGTGATGTCAAATCATTTTCTTATTTTGCTGTTTCTTTTTTATGTAGTTTGAATAGAAATTAAATTTCACAAGTTACAATAGAATTTATAATAGTTTCGTTTAAAGGTAAACGATGTCCGTTATCGTGTGATGTGATGTGAGTCCCCCCCCCCCC